CCCTAGGAGAGATTCTCGGGGTCCAGATGAGGATGCAGGAGGGGTGGGGTGGCCAGAGCAGTGACGTCACAGCTGGGAAGGGTGGAACCTCAGGGGTTCTGGTTCCGTCTACGGGAATTTTCTCACAGCAAATGCAGAGCTTTATTTTGATGACTCTATCATCTTGACTGTATCGTCTGTGTAAATATTAAATCTTAGATGAGAACAAATGAGATGTGGACTGACTTTCAGGTAGGATTTACATACATGTGGGTCTTGAGTTTCTTTTTCATTTTTCAGCAAGCCTGCCTAGATAAAAATTGCTGGAATAAACTTATCTGGGTAGCTGTCTGATTTTCATTGGAAAATTTTGCAAGGAAATAAAAACATAGTATGTGCCAGTTTTTGTTTTTTGGGGTTTTTTGGTGTCATTTTTCATTTACCTGTACTGCTTAATTAGAAGCCGTCTTTCAGACACAATCCCCATTTGCTTCTGCCAGGCAGGGGCAGGGTTGGTTATTGGCAAGCCAGAATCCCAGCTGCGAGGAGGGTGCAAACCTCAAGAGAGTGCGGTGGAGCCCAGTTTACCTTTAGTCCTGATGTCTCGCTCCAGCTGCAAAGTGATACCACCCATTTCCTGGCTCCGAAAGGAAAGGAGGAGCCGGGTCTTGCCATTTGCTCTAGTTTTTTGTTTTTTGGGTTTTTTTGGTCAAAGACTCCCATGTTAACGTGGAAAATATATAAACCCTTCCGAGACAAATAGAGGTACATTAATTTCTTTCTGGAGAAAGTTAAGGAGAGAATTCTGTCTAGAATGATCTTTGGCTTTAGTTGTAGGCTTAATTCCCAGGGTGGGGTACGTTGCATGAAAAAAAATACATAAAACGAAACTGAGAGAAGTGAACAGTTCCACAGTGCTTTCCAGGATGGCAGACTAGTTCCCAGTGGAGGTGCAGACCATTCCCCTCCATCCCACAAGCATGTGTCGGGTGTGTATACAGAGATGAATGAGAAGAAAGGGTGGTCACCATCTTCCCGGAGCCCTTCCTCGCCATGGGAAGTACCTCAGCAGGGTCGAGCAGAGACCAGGACTGGTGTGGACTCCCACCCACACAGACATTGCTTAGATTCTGGCTGTGCTGTGTGTCCTTGAGGAAGTTTGTCAGTCACTCTGTGCCAGTCTCCCTGTCTGTGAAAAGAAGTTTGATACTGATAGTTCTAACCTGTTAGGATTGTCTGATTAACGTGTGTGTGTGTGTGTGTGTGTGTGTGTGTGTGTGT